TCAGATGTATAATTTGCAAATATTTTCTCGCATTCTGTTGGTTGCCTTTTCATTCTCTTGCTAGTGTCTTTTGGTGCATGAAAGTTTTAAACTATGATGATGGTCAATTTACCTATTTTTTCTTTTGTTGACTGTGCATATACAAGAAATCATTGCCAAATCCAATGTCATGCCGCTTTCCCTCTACTTTGACAGTTTTAGCTCTCACATTTAGGGCTTTGACCCATTCTGAGTTAAGGTGTAAGGTAAGGGTCTACTTTCATTCTTTTGCATCTGGATATCTAGTTTTCCCAGATCCATTTATTGAAGACTGTCCACACCATAAAAAACAAACAATCTAATTTAAAAAATCGGCAGAGGATCTGAAGAGACACTTCTCCAAGAGGACATATAGATGGTCAATAGAAGTATGAAAAGATGCTCAACATCACTAATCATCAGGGAAATACAAATTAAAACCACAATGAGATACCACCTCACACCTGTCAGAATGACTGTCGTCAATAAATTAACAAAGAACAAGTGCTGGGGAGGATGTGGAGGAAGGTAAACCCTTGTATACTGTTAGTGGGATTATAAATTAGTGTAGCCACTGTACAAAACAGTATGGAGATTCCTCAAAAAATTAAAAACAGCTGCCATACATTCCAGCATTTCTACTTCTGGGTATTTATCTGAAGAAAACAAAAACACTAATTTGAAAAGATATATGCATGCTTACATTCATTGCATCATTATTAGTAACAGCCAAGATGTGGAAGCAATCTAAATGTCCACCAATAGAATGGATAAAGATGATGTAGCATATATACACAATGGAACACTACACAGCAATAAAAAAATGGAATCTTGCCATTTGGAACATGGTTGGACCTAAAGGATATTATGCTAAGTAAAATAAGTCAGAGAAAGACAAGTACCATGTGATTTCACTTATATATGGAATTTTTTAAAATCCAAAAGAATAAACAAAATAAAAGCAGACATATTGATATAAAGAAATTGATGGTTGTCAAAGGCAGGAGAGAGTAATGGGAATAACAAAATGGTAGAGGGACAAAAAATAATACAGTGACAATAAGAAGGAAAAAATATATTGCAGAGACAGAAACAAATCCGCAGATTTCTAAAAGGTTGAATGTACGATCATGAAAAAATTTATTTTAAAATACTTTTTAAAAATAAGTAAATAGAATACAATTTTGTACTTAAAAATCATCAGTGAATCCTAAGAATGCTAAAGGGAAAAAGCAAAAGGAGAACAAATCTGAAGGACAGATATTACATGATTTCAAGACAATTCAAGGCTACAATAATCAAGAGTGAGATAGGGCCCAGAAATAGACCCACTCAAAGATGATCAATTCATCTTTAACAAAAGTCAAAAGCAACTGAATGAAGAAAGGATAGTCTTTTCAACAAATGGTGGAGGAAGAACCAGATATTTACAATATTCACATGTAAAAAAAGAACATAACACCTTCTGCAAACATTAACTCAAAATGATCATAGAACTAAATGTAAAATGTAAATCTCTAGAACTCCAAAAGATACCAGAGGAGAAAATCTAGGTGATCTTGGGCTTCATGATAACTTTTTAGGTACATTAAAAGAATGATCCATGAAAAAAATGTATATGTTAGTGGTTGCCAGAGGCTCTGAAGAAATGGGAATGGAAGCAACTGCTCTCCATTTTGGGGATGATTGAAAACATTCTGGAATTCGGCAGTGGTAATGGTTGTACAACCTTGCGATTATACTCAAAACCACTGAATCGTATATTTTTAAAAGGGTAAATTTATGGTATATTAGTTATATCTTTATTTTTATAAAATATAAAAGGATCTCTAGGCAGTTTTGCTTCTTTTTCTTTTGTTCATTGTGTAATTAAATAATGTTCCTAATTTTTTTTAGGGTATGTGATTCAGTTCTTCATTTACTGAGAAGTAATCAATTGACATGAATGGTGTTAAATTGGTTTCAGGGTAGAAAAAAGACTTGGTGAAAAATATACTGGAGCATTAATTTATTCACCTCTGACTAAAGTATTGATAGAAGCTCTTGATACACAATGGTTGATTAGGTAAATGGAACCCATTATTTTATAAATGAGTCCTGAATCAATGGGAAGTCACCTGAGGTGGCAGTGGGCCATACTCTAACATAAGCAAAAAGAGGCAAGTTATATATGAGGGAGGACCCAAAGAAAAACCAGTATTTATTTATTAAAAAATTGTGTATTTATTCTTTCACATTTCAACTTCAGTCACCTTCAAAGTTTTTTTCACCACTCAAAGGTTTTTGAACTCGTTGATTTTGATGCCTTTTAGTGCTCATGCCGTTTCTTGTTTCAACTCTTCCACACTGGCAAAATGTTTCCCTTTGAGGACTTTTTTTCATCTGGGGGAAACAAAAAAAAAGTCACTCTGGCAAGATTGGGTGAATAGGGAGAGTGGGGCATGGGGGTCATGCTGTTTTTGGTCAAAAAGTCCTGCACACCCAGCAAGGTGCACTCATAATCACTCATCATCAAACGGTCAAGTGCATTAAATCTTCACAAAAAAACTCCTTGAAGCTGAACACAGCCTCTCACACCACCACCAGCTGGTACACTGATACATATAGGTTCCTAGAACACTCACCTAGCAGGGAAGCCTGCACTGCAAGGGGCCCACCCTCCAGTAGATAATTCTGGAGTTTTGGGGGTTCCCCCTTGAATCTGGGTAAAATCTAACTTGAGTCAATTAAAAAAAAAAAAAAAAAGCTCAGTAGTACCCTCCTGACAGCTAACTAAAAAGTCCCTGTTAGAAACCAGAACTTTACACACACACACCGCTCCCCCCGCCCCCCCAAAAAAGAATTGACAGCCTACAAAAGTCGTGTAACAAAGACCTGTAGACCTAAAAATCTATCTAGTCAGTCTTTGAACCAGATGCTGGCGTTAGCTCTCAAAGCCTCACCTTCATATGCTTGTTAAACAATGACCTTTGAGGCTCAAAGTTTTTCTGAAAGGGTTTACTGGGACAAATGCTGGCCAGAAAAAGCTCCAGTTCCTGGGGCATGAAATCTAAATCTAAACCACCAGCTGCAGGGCCAGGTGAAGACAAACATGTCCACTGTCCTGGGGTTGACAGGGCTCTTTTGTACAGTAAGTGTAGGGAAGAAAAAGTTGTTTTGAAAGAATTTACATTGGCTATAGATAAGGGGGGTTGGGAGGTAAATCAGAGTTCTGGGTTAGGTGCACTGTCCATAAAAAGAAGAACTTGCTGCTTTTGGATTGGTTGTGGGCAACAGCCTGGAAAGTTCAAGCATAAACAAGATGTGGTGGCATGTGGTGGTTGTCCATTTCCTCAAGAGCTAAAGGATGGCCTGGAAGTTGATTCAAAATTTAAACATACATTTCAAACCAGAGGGAAACCGAGTCTGGGACTCATACTGCCTGTCATCACTCAGCCAAACAGCAGAGACAGGGATTGGATTAAAATTGTGCTTTTATTAATATCAGAGGCTAGCAGTCTGAGAAGCAGTGGGTTAAAACCCTAACATCCACCTTACCTTGAACTTTTAGAAGCAAGTTTACATAAGGGAAATGTGGGAATTTGGGAGGGGGGAATTCCTAGGGAGAGCACTGACGTGCAGACATACTGTTCCTCTTTGGAGCTGGAAATGACAGGGGAGTCATGCAGCTTCCTTCCAAATTGGCTCCTTTTGTTCTGGTGTTATCGCTCCATTTGCGTTAGCATTCCTCTCTTCCCAGGTCACCTGTGGTTTATGATCAGAGAGGCTACGTATTCTCTGGTTAGGGAGGAGAGCTATAAACCATTTGTTCTTAAGTGTCCTTGGTTAGAGGAGATAACGTCTTGCAAGTCACCAGTTGGCTCAAAATTGTTTGAGCTGTTTGGCCTTGTTTAATTGTCTGTTGTTTTTTTTTCTTGTCTCAGTTTCTCCATTCCACTTGCCTAAGAATCCTCCTAGCTTCTTACTCTCCTGTCACACATTCAGGAATAAGAACAGTCATTGCTGGTTTTGGCCCTTGGCTCTATTTACTGATTACCCTTGCTTCTCTCAGGCCCATTCTTTTGTCCTGGCGTTTAATTAGGACGTCTCAAGATTTCTCTCGTGCAGTGCTGCAGGTACCAGGTTCCCTCAGTGCTGACTCTCCTCCTGGGACCGAACTGTGCTTCAGCCTCCATGTTTGGGACAAAATTTAACTGTCGACTATACATACAGTAACTTTTACAGAGGCCTAAAACAACATGCAAATGAACATGCTGATACTGAGAGATCTGATCAAATCACTGGGGAGAAGCAGAAAGGAGCCACTGGAGTTTGCAAAGGCAATGGTAAATAGTCTAGGATGAGTTTGGCTGAGAAGCTGAAAGCCTTCAGAGCGCATGGAATTATGGGCAAGATTTGAAATAAAAGAAGGCCTTTCTCTGCCTGTCTTCCTCAAGGATGCCTGGATGATCATGCTGCAGCTGCCTTTATTTCCCAATGGGTGGTATTTTGTATGGGAATGAACTCCAGGCATAGCCTAGCGTCAAGCTGGCCTGGCAGAGGGTCGCAGGGTTCTTCTTCTTTAGGTGTTCTAAAGGGGAAAAGCTCTGAGACAGACGCCTGCCATTCTTCCAAAAGTGTGTAGCTTTTGTATCTTATGTTGTTTTAGTTTGTTAACTAACCCTATAGAAATAAGGCAATTAAAAATTAATGGAGAAATGCTAGAACTCAGCTGTTAAGAGTTTAGTCTTAACTGATAGGCCTAAGTGACTAATTCACCTGGAAAGCTCTTATTCCGAAATTGTGAAGCTTTTGAATAAAGACTCCTTCCCTTTGTCACCAAACCTGTGCTTCTAGAGTTCTGCCTGTATGTGGAGGCAGGCAGCAGGACCCCAATTGCTGTTCGGTAAAAATAGATCTTTTCTTTTTAAAGAATAAAACAATCACGTAGTCAAAAACTGAAACCATATAGAAGGATATTAAATTAAAAACTCCTGGTTGAGTTTCTTGTATAAATTATGACTTTTTATTTCCAAAATGTTTATTATTAATGTGATAGGAATATTATACAAAATGTTTCTGATGAGAGCTGAGTATTGCAGAGCCTGTGTGGTTTAATCAGAAACTGAGGCTACATTCAGATCCCAAATATGAAAACAAAGTCTTCCTGAATTCCAACACAAAATTTAGATCTACGTAGACAGTTTTTTTAAAAAATCACATTTTAAACTTTAAGTCAGGATTTCATTTGATTTCTTCTATCCATAGAAAAACAAATTCTTCAAACACTTAAAAAATAACAGAATTTGGCAGTCACCTGGAAACAATTTATTATTAAGTTGATTAAGCCCTAAACCCATCAAGTAAAAAAGTCTCACACACTCAGGGTTAAGATGAAACAATAATACACAGGCATATGTATGCTTTGACTAACAAATAAATCAACAGCCCCTGGTAAAACTTCTAATACTCAAGAAAGATTCACAATTAAATGTCCTATAATTTTAATGTTGCCAGTAAGCAGATTTCCCTTGATCCTTAGGTGATAAGACTGACATAATTACAACTGGAAGTGGGGAGGAGGTAAAGAAAACGAAAACCTGGAAATCACAAGGGAGTGGGAAGTAACCCAATTAATAGGAGCATTGAAAGTACGTAATCTTTCAACAAAACGAGTGCCAATTTGGAAAATTAATGTCTATAGGCATTTTCTTCCTCAAATAGGGAGCCAAGTGAATGAGAGAAACTAGACCTTTTTTCAATGTTCCTAGGACCAAAGGCAACCACATATCTGGAGCTACTAAACTCTCCAATGCTTGAATATTAACAAGCTCTTCACATGGTAATTATCCTAATATTTTAAATTTTAAAAACCTGAAACAACTCTGTAACAGCCAACAATTCAAATTTTATTAATCACCCTCTAGTTCTTACATATTCTATGAAAATGGGTACCTAATTGTGCCCTTTATAAAGATGTAAATAATTTACCTATTGTGCAAACAAAGCTCACCTGGTCTTAACAGGAGGCACCTACCCAGGGCAAGAAACTGAGGGTAGTCAGAAAGACAACCAACACTACATTTCTGTTGCTAGTCATTCAGTTTGAAAGGCCTCTTTCCAAGTGGCATGAGCTGTGCCCAGACATTAAAGACTAAAATGTAAGCCTGTAGACAGAGTCCACGCCATCAGAGGAAAAGGGCCTTTAGACCTGAGGACGGTTGGCCAGACCTGTTCTTGTCTTACCTTTGCTGTTTTTGAGGAAAAGGTTCCTCTAACGTGAGCCAAATTCGGTGCCTCATTTAAGCCAGAGATGCTCTGGGAGTTTTTAGCCAGCTCACTGCATTCTCATAATTCACTTTTTATCCCAACAGCACTCTGCTCCTGCTTAGGAAGCTCCTAGGGAAGTAGATGAAACTAATTAGTAGGACACAGCTGGTCAAAGGCAACGCAAGCATTTTACCAGCTGTGTATGAAAGACTTTCCCACACCTGTGGCAAAGGCCATAGAAGAAATATTTCTATCACAGGGGGTTCACAGTCATTGTCCTCTTTGACTCTGTCCTCCTTCCTTTAGTTCTCTGCCATGACAATCTCAGCCAGTCCTCACCATGTTTCTTTTCCTGGAGGCAAAGTATTTCTCTTTAGCTTATTTTTGAGAAAGGTTTATTTTTTGTGATTTACCCAACTGATCATGAAAACAGGTCTGTTGGGGTGGAGGGTAAAATTAAACAATCTTCTATGTCTGGAAAATGGCTGCTGGGCCTTCCAACTTCATGAGACGCTTGGACCAGCTGTACTCTTCTATGCTGAGTCCTCTTCATCCATTGTCACATCACAGTTGGTGTTTTTCTGCTGCTCGGCGTCTGGCCCCGCAGGCAGGATGCTTGTGACAGTGTGGAGAAGCGCTTCGATCTGCTCCTCTGTGAGCCGTTCTTCACTCTCTTCCACCATCTGCAGGAGAGAAAAGCCTCCAGGGGTCACAAATGAGCCTCGTAGTGTGGGCCACCCCACGTTGGTCCCAGTCCCAGTCCCAGTCCCGTCCCGGTCCCAGCCCAGCCTCTTAGTACAGAGCTCAGGGCCTGGCTCCTGAGCCACCTCTGGTCACCAGGTCCTCCCCATGTTTGCTCCACAGGAGAGAGGAGCTAGCTCAAATTTCAGGATAATCCAGTGCGACAGCTCAAAATGGGTCAGGGAAAAAAGAGTTGCAGGTTAGCGTTTTTCTTTAAAGAAGAAAACCCTAACATTTCCATCCCTATATACACATGTGAATATGTTGTATATGCAAAGAAAATTCACCTCTGGGGAGTGAAATGATGCTTTATGTACTTGTGTATTTCACAACGAGCTCATCTGCAACCTATAAATTGTACCAACAACTCATCTGATGATTGCCCACTATGTGCCAAATATTCTTTTTTCTATATCCCTCATTAGGAAATCCTCATTTCCTAATCCTACCCTCCCCGCCCCACTAATAACAGCTCCTTAGGGAGATTATGCGCCTGGTACTGCACCTTACACTTCATATCCATGATTTGTTTTACTCGGCACAACAATCCTAGCAAAGGGAAAAAACTAGAAGTCAGGCCCACCCAACTCTAACACACATCATTTGGCCTTAGTCACCTCCTGAGAATGCAGCACAGGAGTCTGATGAGTGACAGCTGGAAAGCAACTGCACACTGCCTCACCAAAGGTCTACTTAATGCCTGGTTTCTGACATGGTCCTGGAAATGTGAACACACAGTTGATATCCACAGTCATAAGCCAGTTTTCTAAGCTTCACCTCCAATTCTGAATATGTTAATGAATACAAACATAATACAGTCAACCCTCCTTTTAAAAGTACACAGGCAGTCGAATTGTTTCACCTGATTCACTTTGGGGCATTAGCTGTCTATTACAGTTTTTTCAGCTATAGGTGTCCAGTGTCCTATTCTATGGTATTTCCCACAGCAATCTCTTACAGCTGGCAACTAAGACCCAAAGGAATTCTAGAAATAAATCCCAGCAGATTTAAGTAAAGAAAGATGACAAGCTAGGCTTACAATCCTGAAATCAGTCTACTGCCTTGCTTTACAAATAATAGTACAGAAACTAAAGAAGTCAGATGACACATCCAAGGTCATACTGCAAACTCCTGACAAAACATTGGTCTCTTCATTTATCTTAGTCCAAAAATGTTGCCACAACTAGAGTGTAATCCTTGGTGTTCCATGGTGGGGAAGATCTTGAGTGAACCAATGAAGCTACTTCCCATGATGCTGTGAAAGAAAATGTCCATTTTCTAAAAATTCAAAGGCTCAATAAAGTATAACTTCTCTACTGAAGAAGAAACAATCCCCCAAAGCCCTTTTTTAAAATCAGACATGCAAAAGTAGGTCTGTAAAAGGCAGCATTCTAACAGACTCCCTCCAAAGAATGAAGAGGAAGGAGGGATATAACCAATCTGATTTAACCCTGAAAAAACATGATCTTCATTTGAGAGAAGAACGTCTCCAAGTTTATGAATAACTGGCATATGCAACTGATGACGAACTGTTCCCTGCCTCAGGAAAGAGGGTGAAGGAGATCTGAACTGGTGTTACAACCACCCACCAGGATTTGTACAGTGCTCCACAGTTTAGGAGGGGTTTTCCCAGAAACACTGCCACCAGAACTTCTCCAGGGTGCTGCCCGTAAAGTCAGGACAATTTACAGATAAATGGAGGCTCAGCGTTATAGGGAAACTTGCTATGGGTCTCCTAGCAAGCAGGGGCAAAGTCTTTTGACTTTGCATCCCAGCTCTTTCTAGAACACCATGCCTCCACTCCAGGAAGGTTTCTATCATTTCCTCTCTCAGAGATGCACATGGCAGTCTAGAGTCCATTGGCTTAAAAGAGTCAGGTTATATGACCCTAAGAGGCCTTTCTTTGTAGAAAACCATATGCAGAGAACTTCAACAGGCCACCTTCTTGCGTCCCAATCTCTGTGTTTGGCAGATGCAACACTAAGATTAGGTTGTCATGAGGTGCTGATGAGCTTTCAATTTTGCCAAATTCGTCAAGAGCCACTTTGATTAACACACAACCCTCAGGGATGATTATAGTCAGGAACTTTTCTTTTCAACCCAAGATTCCCAGTGACAGCAAGTAAACCCAAGCTGTATTAAGCAAAATGAAATATACACAAAAAAGAGACTTTCGGAAATCAAAAACTTACTAACCCATCTTAGATCACTAGGATAAATGAGAGTAACTATATTATTATTCACCTTTTCTTCCCATCACATAAGAAACTGAGATGAAATAAAGAAGTACAAAGCACCATCTCAACATTCTGATACCAAAGATTTCAAGTTGTTCAGAATATAAAGGCAAATGATATTTAAAAATCCAAAGTATTTCCAGATGTGTCACTATAAATGATAAATATTTCTAATCATCTACAAAAATTACATCAATACCCCTAGGTCAAACTCAGCAGATCAACTACAAAAATGTTTGTTTCTCATTTTAAGCTCCCAGGCCTAACCTCCTACTTTCCTCAAATATCTCAAAACCTAATAGTCAATGACATCTTTAGCTATTTGACCCGAACAGTTCACTTAACCTCTGTAAATTTCAATTTTCTTTAATATAAAATGAAAGTAATGTGTATGGTCAGGACCAAATGAAAACATACATGATAGTGTTTTGTAAGCTATAAAACTATATAATTCAGGGCATTTTAATCACTTAAGTTATAAAAGGCATGGACGATAGTGCTGTTCAGGACAGTGGCCTGTGAGGTCATGGGGTTCTCTGTCCTATCGTCAGACCAGAAGGCTCAAAAGGGGATGGCAGAGTCACAGAAGCGGGGTGGCTTCCTCATTTCTACACAGACAGCAGGCTGTGGGTCTGAGGATCGCAACAAAGCATGGCTGAGGGATACCTGAAAAAGAGAAGCTTCAGCCTCAAAAACTGAATACTAACAAATGTTAGATGCAGTGGTTACTTCCGGACCCAGGTGGTATACACAGCTGTAAGGTTAACATGGGGAAATGATCTCAAGTCCTTTGCAGTTTCCACTCTATTTGAAAAACTAATTTTTTATCCCACTCTGGTGAGAAGAGATATTGCTACAAGCTTCGGTAAATATTTGCTATATTTTACTGCCAAATACTAGGCTGGGAAAAATCTAGCTATAAAATGGTCCAACTAATGGGAAATAACATATGCAATTTTTACCAAGGGAAGGAAATGAGAATGAAGAGTCTGAGGGAATCCCACACACATCTGGTTTGTGTGGGACAGAGTAAGACTTCTGAATCACACAGACCCAAAGCAGCCACTCACTAGCCAAGACTAAAGTGAGGGCATCAAGGTGACATATACAAAGCCCCTAGCACCACATCTGGCATACAGTAGGCTCTCTTAACAGCAGCTAATTTTACCAAATAATGATACAGGCTCTGGGATGAGGTCACACTAATCCTCCTCATCTCTTCCCCATCTGTCATGAAGCCATGAATAGCATATGTTGCTGATTAAAGTTGGAGGAGGCAGGACATGTGATCTTTAACCCAGAGGGAAAGGGATTATTTGCCGTTTTGTTTGTTTTTTTCTCTTTCTAAGTTGACTAACACAGTTGAAAGCATAAGAATAAAGAGGGTTCCAAAAGGAATCTTTATGTATTCTAAAGGCCAGTTACCCACAAAGGCACCCTTTGTGGGAAAAATTTTTCTAACTTAATTTTGATTACATTTTGAAGGGCAGAAACCATGAAGAAAACACAAAGAAAATAAATTTTAGTCAGAATTAAAAGCCCCATGACTGTTTAAAAAAAGGATTGTTTGTTTGTTTGTTTGTTTTAAACAACTCTAATCATAGGTATTTTTGGCTGTTTTTCTTCCATACTTTTCTGAAGGAAATTTGACAAAGAGCTAAATACTTCTAAAACTGACTTTGGAAATAGTTTTTTTCTCATTTTATTAATTCTTCAGCCAAAGTTGTTGTTGGTTTTTTTTTAAAGATTTATTTTCTTTTAGAGAGAGGGGGAGGGAGGGAGAAAGAGAGGGAAACATCAGTGTGCAAGAGATACATCTATTGGTCACCCCTGGCACACCCCCAACTGGGGACCTGGCCCTGCAACCAAGCATGTGACCTGACTAGAAACCAAACTGGTGACCCTTCAGTTCACAGGCAGGCGCTCAATCCACTGAGCCACACCAGCCAGGGCAGCCAAAATTTTTTATTGGCAGTTAAATGTCCTGCTTCATGTTTGTAGCTTAATGGTGCTCTGTGCTCTGCGCAACCAAAGCAGGGACTGCCAGAGCACGCTCACACAGCAACCCCTGGACCTCATTTCACATTCCCCTTATACCATCTCAACTTCCTACCCTACCCACCTCCCACAGTTCTGAGGCTTTATGCTGTGACTGCAATTCAGACTTTCCAAGTGACGGGGCTCCTCTGAATGGTTTTATGCAAGGAAGTAAGATAAACAAATTTGTGGTTTTAGAAAGTGAACTATGATGGTGCAGACGACGGACTGGAGGGAAACAGACCGGAGGCACGGAGAATGGTGAAGAGGGTAACTGCAAGAGCCGAGGTGAGAAGTGATGACAGAAGTAATGCAGTGCAGCAGGAAAGGAAGACTAAGGCGAGATAGAAGCAACAGAACTCAGGGACTAACCAAGCATGAAATAAAAGGAAGAGAATGACTTCCAGGTTTCTGGCTTAGGAGACTAGGCCAGGAGGGAGAGAAAGAGAGATGTGGGAAAGTGCACATATGCTCCAATAATCAAAAAAAGAATTCTAGAAGAGTAGGTCAAAGGGTAGGAGTGGCGGAGATTAATTCCACCAGAGTCATGTTGAGGGTAATGTTTTTTGTTTTAAGGGTTTTATTTATTTTTAGACACAGGGGAAGGGAGAAACAAAGAGAGGGAGAGAAATATTAATGTGTGGTTGCCTCTCATGTGCCTCCTACTGGGGACCTGGCCTGCAACCCAAGCATGTGCTCTGACTGGGAATCAAACTGGCGGCCCTTTGGTTTGCAGGCCGGCACTCAATCCACTGAGTCACACCAGCCCGGGCAAGCATAATGTTTTTAAGCAACATCTGGATTGGCAATAACCCTACAGGGAAGCGATGGCCAGAGTTATGTAGGACATCATCAGGTGAAACAAAAACCCACCAAATCATAGGCCTAAACCTTATAGAAGGAATTAAATTTCCTCCAGTCTTCTACTTTACCTAAGTCTATACTAACAGGAATGAAACTGGTGAGGTTTCTTTCACTTACAAAACGGAGTGATCTGACAGTCTTTTCAAGATATGTCAGTTCCTGGTTGGTCTGTTGTCAGCCTTTACATCACCCTTTCTACATATCTAACCCAGAAACTATCCCCCCTACCACCACCAAGTTCAGGCCTCCTTCACTCACCAGCTGGATCTCAACAGCAGTCATAGGCCTGTGATTCAGCAGCTGCAGTTTTTCAGCTCTGCCAAAAACAAAAACAAAAACAAAAAAAGTACAAAGCACTTAAAACTCTCATACCCCTAAGGATCTTGACTCTTTACTAAGATGTTTAGAGAGAGTTCGTCAGATAACAAATGGGAGAACCACTTGGAACATGGCCCTCAGCTTCTTCAACTGTAAAATGAAAAGCATGGGAATAGGAATAGGAGTCCCATGTCAGTGACTCTTACTCAAGGGCACAAAAGTGTATTAGAATCCTACAAGGTAAAGAGGCTTGGATTGTAAGAAATGTAGAAAATAGTAGAGATGAATGTTTAATGAATTTTATTTGGAATATGTAAAAAAATAATGTTTTCTTAATTCAAATTATAGAAAGTAAAGATAAACAAAATTATCTTGGTTGGTCATTGCTTGAGAATTCCTCTTTGAGATTAAGATTAACTGTTACTCAGGTTTGACCTATCTGAGTAAACAAAAATGACTCTAAGGGGGCAGGAGTTAATACAGAGTAGTACAAGGTACAGTCTTCTGCCCTCAAATAGCTTACATTCCAGTTGGGGAAAGAAAACATATACAAGAAATTTTAAAAAAAGACTTAAGTAACAGTTGATGATAATAACTGCCATCTGTCACAGGCCATCTATAGCTTACTGCTGAAGGGGTCCTTGAAATGTATGGACTCTCAAAAATGACAGGACTTAAAGAGAGAACAGCTTCAATTACCACCCTGTGCAGGTAATAATGTCTAAATTTCACTCTCAATCTGACTTTGGAGCTCCAGATTCACCTTTATATTCAATTCTTATTGAATTTAAATATACTGATTTTAATATTTGAGTTTATTAAGTTTAAAGATCTTATGGAATTAAATGATAAGTAAGCTACAATTCCCATAGTCATGTGTTTGGGGGAAGCAGCGTAAGTTACCCAGATTCCCTAAGCCTCAGTTTCATCATTTGTAAAACATGCATGATGATATATTTACTATCACACAAGAGGTGAGGAGGGATGAAAACCCTTACCATTTATAGTGACAGCAGTTACCATTTATTGCTTACCTTCCATTAGACAACTGCATTCAACCATCAGACATAAATGACGCTGAGATGGTAAATAACTTGCCCAACGGTACACAACTAGTAAATGGCAGAGCTGGGATTCTACCATCAAAGTTCATGTTCTTAACCATCTGCTTCTAGTATTGATAGTGTTCATAATGGTGACTGTCACACAGTAATTTCTCCATAAATGGTAGTCATTATTAAAGAAGTTGTAGTCAAGTTCTACTCTTCATACTCACCCCTACATTTACTCTGTACTTGAGGAGGAAGACTTCACAAAGAAGACCCATGCACTGGGCTCTGAAGGATTTTCCAGACAGAAAGGATAAATAGAAAGGGCAGTCAAGGCAAGAACAACACAAGTAAATGCCCAGAAAAACAAAAAATGTATGTAGCTTTAGGAAATGGCCCCTAGAGGTTATGGGACACAAGCTTGAAAGAGCCATCAGAGACAAGACTACAAAAGGCCCTGACTACCAAGAGGCTGGATGTTATTTTGTAGGCACTGGAGAGCAACCAAGAGAAGGACTATCACACTCAGGCTGATACTCAAAGCAATTCTGGAAGACCTGGTAAAATGGACGCAAAGACACTGCAATACTCCCACATGAGAGAACACAGTCATGTACTTGGGCAGCAGCAGCAGGGATAGCAATGAGCGTCTGGATACGTGAACTGCACCTGGTTACTCTCAGGTACAGTCAAGTCAGCAGGACCTCTGCCTTGCTTTGGTGGGGCTGGGGGGAAAGAAAGGGGAGAGTCAAAGTTTACTGCCAAGTTTTAAGCTTGTTTGGACACAATATATTAATTGAAATTTGAATTTGAGTTTGTGGTACTTTTAGAACACAATGAGACAGATTCTATCAAGCAGACTGTCTAGTTTGCGTTCTAGTTTGGTCTAAAACTAAAGAAAAAGCCCAGAGCTGGGTTTATTAGCAAGGAGTTATAGGAAACCATGCCAGTGCACATCACAGCCCAGAGACCAGCTGCAGAGTACGTGAAGGCCCTTGACAGCACCATAAAGCACCTCCATTTAAGGGGCCGGAAGAGAAGGCACCGAGGAGAATGAGAAGGAGCAAAAGGAGAAAAGAAAACCTGGGAGAGTGCTGTTAGGGAAACCAAGAGGAAAAAAGTTCAAAACAGAGGGTATTTTCAACAATGTCAAATACTGAAGAGAGAAAAGTAGGCTGATAATATAAAAGTCATTGGATTTGCTGCTAAAGAGGGCACTGGTGGCCTGTGCAAGAAGTCCAGTGGAATGACAACTGTGGTAACAACTGGATTGTGGAGACCAAGGAAAAACTGTGAAGAAAATAACCTTTTTCTTTTGTGATGCAATGTCATCACTTTATTCAAATCTTCAAAATAGTCTTTATTCTCCATTTCTAGTATAAAAAATCCACCCAAGAACACCACAGTACAGAGAGAAACATACAATGCTGAACGTTCGTAAGTCAATGATACAGTCAGATATCACATATATAGAACACAAAATGTAGATGAACTATAGATGAACTAAAATTAGAAGATAAAATAAAATCTAATTTCAGAAAATGAAAATCAAAGTATTAAGGATCCAAACATATTCTTAACCTAACGAGATTTCATTAAACTTAAGTCATTTTATAAAGAGGTATTCACAATATGACCCCATTAACTCAGCTTAGGAATTCTTGGGAGTCCTCAGTGGCTGCACCACGTACTCAGATAATACATGGTAACCAATTTTTGATTTGAAAATTCCCCTTAATTTGGCTCTAATGTTATCAGCTTTTGAAATGCATCTTCCTCATTGCCCCTCATATTTTAAACTGCTATGAAAAATATTTGCAAAGTACTGTTTGTGCCAATATCCTCTGTTCAGACAAAGTTCAGAGGGCTTTTTGGTTTTTGTCAACAAAGCAAATTTGGGTTTGCTTCATGTAGGAAGACAATGAGGAGGGTCCAAAAGGCACCCTCCATTTCTGTCTGAGGAGATGCAAAGGCAGAAGAAAAAGGGGTCTGTGCTTTGACATAGAGGGGATTTCAAAGAATCCTTGTGAAAGACTAGCCAAAAATGACAAATGGGGAGAAGTACAAGGAGAGAAGTAAATTAGTCTTGACCAGCTTTCTGTGCTGCACCATTGATCCAATGGAGACTGGCGAGAGGGAATTGAAGACTAGGGTTGAGGGTGGGATGTGGGCCAAAGATGGAAAGGAAAAGGCAGACAGCTAATACGTTTCACTTAAAACAAGTGATATAAATCAAATGTTTAAAGGAAATTAATAAAAAACAATCAGCATAATTTGGCAACTGCAACTCTTAGGAAGATCAAAGTTCCTTCCAACCCCAATTTGATATCTTATTACTAAAAGCAAAGACCAGTATGATACAGTATTACTCCAGAGGAATTAAAGCAAGATCCTTAGGGCTGCTTCCTCCCCATTCATTTTATGAATGTATACCTGCCCTACCTCAAATTGCTCTGAGGAGGTAATTCTACCATTACATGGTTCCTTACTAAGTTTGAGAAGTGCCTGAAAGTTTGGGTACCTGAAGACACCCAACAACATTTGTCTCAACTGTAACTTAAAGAAATAAAGAACAAACTGACAGTGACCAGAGGAGAGGGCCGAGAGGGTAACAGGAGAAAGAAGGGGAAGGGTCAAGTCAAGGAACGGGTATAAAGGACCCATGGACAGAGACAACGGGGGCGGGGGGGAGGATCGAGTGGAAGGTGCGGAGTGGGTAGGGAAGGGGAGAGTAATGGAGGGAAATGGGGACAACTGTAATTGAACAACAATAAACAATTAAAAAAAACAAAAACATAAACTGCAACTTCAGATTAATATGACTAAAGGAGTTACATTGTGAGATGTGCTGAAGGTATGTGATGTCTTTCCTGGCACAGAGATGGTGTAGCCACCATCTAAGCCATCCATGGAGAAGTTTTCCTTCCACTGAGTTCCAAGGACACTCGCTCCCTGCATGACTGCAAGCTGAGCAGCATGGGGAGGGCATCCTGGCGGAGGAGGGGGAATGTTACCAGCAGTGGCCCCAGCTCCAAATCTGGCCCCGCATCATACCCTCCTTCTACCAGCACTGTTGAATCAGGTGGGTATATGGAAACGCAGATAACAAGTCATGGGACTGTGAAACCTAAAGGGCCACAAGCCACAGACTGGGCCTGGGGAAGACAACAGTGACGTGCCAGGAAAAGCACCTGACTGTGGCAGGCCATGGGTGCACAAAGTTCAGATGACAGATCTGTGAGTACGCAGGTGGAGCGTCAGGGTAGAGTCTGACGGCACACTCAATTCCCGGAAAGCTACGCAAGTAGGTTTGCTGTGTTGGGAATGACCTTTGCTGTTCATGGTGGCTGCGGATCCGGTCTGGCTCAGCGTCACAGGGAAGGGCACGATCTAGAAGGAGACTGAAGCATGTTTACCACCTCAGGAGACAAGCACGCAGAGAGGCTGAAGTGTCTAAGGGAAAGACCCTTAGAGAAACAGAAGTCCAAAGTTTCAGTGAAGGGGCTCATGCTCTGCTGAGACCCCAGCAATACGGAAAGAAAAAGCAAATTTGAGGTGATGAGGGAACTGGGTTAATTTTAGATAGTTTTCTCAGTGAAGCAGAAGTAAAGTCACCATCTGAGAAGTCTGGGTGTGAAAAGGGTTAACAGGACTACAAGCTGCAGAGAGCAGGTGAGAGGACTAGGAATTATCATCAAGCAGTTTTGAAGGCCCAACTGAGTTGGAAAATATGAACCCTCACTCATAGCAAAATTACTTGTTTTAACCACCATCATCCAAAAATACAAATAAAGAACAGAGAAAGAGCAGGAATAGAGAAAAGATATAGCTGAATAAATGGACACCTTGGCTACAAATCAATTAAAGCAACAGAACTTTATCAAACCATCATTATTCTGCCGGGCTCAGAACTGCAGCAAATGTTCCCAGTTACAAAAAGGACCTTGTT